TGTAAAAACATAATTGTAAGAATTTATTTTCAACTTTCACGTAAAATTTTCTATGTTCAATTTCATATATATATATATATATATATATATGTGTGTGTGTGTGTGTGTGTGTGTGTGTGTATGTGTATAAAGAAATAAATAATTTTTAGTAAATAATTTTTTTATATAAATTAATAAATACTTGCTAATTTATTAATATATTTTGATTTATAAAATGTAATATTTTGAAAAAAAATAAGATTTTGTTAAAGTCTTATAAAAAGATGTTTAAACATAATCAATACAGATATAAAGATGTAAGATCTTTATTTTTTTATTTTAATAATATACTATCAAAGTACTAAGATATTATAATTTGATTAATTGAATTATATGCACTCATTTTTATTTTTCAAGTACTATGTAATCTTCCTCAAATATTTGACCAATATTGTTTTATTAGAATTTTATTGACATGCAATTTTGACAATTGAAAGTTTGATTTTTTTATTTTTTACAATAACTCACTTTATTTGTCTAGTTGAACCCATGATGTGGTTAGTGGTCTAGCTTTGACAACGATTGGAATTAATTGAAGAAAATTTGTTCAACAACAACATAAGAAATAGGAGAGAGGACATAAAGATGCTAAAACAGATTATTGGACAACATTTGTTTAACAATGTTGAAGATATTGGAAGAAAGCTCAAAGAAAAGGTATAACCAATGTAAGAGAGAATATTAATCTTGATTAGAAAATAATTGGTCAACAATGTAGAAGAAATCATGAGAGATGAAGAAGAGAGAGATGATATTAATCATTGAAACCATAGAAAGGTGCAACTATAACATAAGAAAAATTGTGATGAACTCAGACAAACAAAGACTAAAGCCGTGCATAATCTAGGCAAGATGAATGTTTTGTATTAAGAGATAGAAAGACATGCTATTGTGATTAATAGAAGCAATCTTATGTACTTAATAAAATAATAAATAAGAAAATATGATAGAATAAGAGAAATTGGTGAAAAAATAGAGAAACTTTTTTATAAACATCATAATAATAAAAAAAATTAAAAAATTAAAAGATCATCATAATGTTGGAAATATAGATGTTCAATGCCTACATTACAAGGCACTCCATTGAATGGATGAGCAAATTATGCCATTAACAAAATTAAATCTATGATTTGGTGCATGTTGTTATTATGGAAAGATTAAGTTTTTGCTACTTAAAGATTCCTTATTGTTAATTAGAGAACTACTTGATGGATAAGAAGAATAAAACAAGGAGTTTTCAAAAGACTTTTTTATAATATAATGTTACACACATTTATATCTCTTGGTATAAAAATCAATAATATTAGCTTACAAAGATATGGTCTATATAGCTTTTGCATACTTGAAGAACTTTGGTATCAAATGGATATTTTTTTTACCAAAACAAACTATAGAAGTAAGTCATATGTAATTTTATAGTTATGATCTTAATATTATACATGAAACAAAAATGACATGTAAAAATAATTTTTCAATTTAAATAATGGAAAATTTTCAAAAATATTTGAAAGAACATCACATATTTATTTTATTTTATTGACAAGCTTATGAAATATTATCCAAAGCAAGAAAAAGAAGGGAGGGGAGTGATGATATCTATGTACACCTTTATTTTAATAAAAATTCTAATAGAAGATGTTATAATCTTCCAAATTCTAATAAAGTTGTAGTTGTTATGTGAAGCAATAGAATAAAGGTATAAAGAATATGAGATATGGTTGTTTGATGGAGAAGAAGTGCATTGCAACAAATTCATAAAAGACATCATATATACTTGCCAATCTATTATGTTATTTTTTTTTTCACATAAAGAATTTGAATGGTTTGACCAAATGAAACATAGAGATATGAATGCCAATAAAGATGGTAATAAAAATACATAGATTGCACATATTACTTAAATAGAATTTTATTCATATCAATTTTTTCTACAATTTAATAAAGACTCAACTATCTTATAAGGTAGAAAGGTTTTACAAGAATTTATTATAGATACTTGAGCAGCAATAGAGCACAATTAGTTGAGATACTTTAATATGAATCAAGATAAGTTATATATAGCTGTATATCAAGGATTGGCAAATGTTTTTGGAGATGTGAAAAATGAAGAAGTTGACATGCAAAATTTAAGGTAGAAAATAATTTTTTTATTGTTTCATGTTAAAAGTACAAAAAACATATTTGAAATTTTTTAGGATCTTCCACATATATAATTCTTAATCTTATTTGAACAAAACACCAAAATAAAAGATTTAGTCAATGTTGATAGGATTGTTTGAGCGTATTTTTTTATCAAAGAAGATCTATTATTATTGAGACAATTAGCACTTAGTTAATAGTCTATGTGGGCCTCAGAATATATAAGCTCCATGCATAAAGGATGAAATATGCCAAAAGAGTTTTATAATATAATATAATATAATATTTATGTATTGAAGATTTAAAAATTGTAATTAGCGTGTTGTAACCAAATTTTAAGAGCACATGCTTAGAAATAGGATTCTTAGAAGATGATGAAGAGTGAAATCAATGCTTTGAAGAAGGCTTTGTAATAAAAATAAATGAGCAATTAAGAGTAGTTTCTGCTATTATTCTTCTTTAATGTTTATACATATATTTTAAAAAGCTATGGAACAAGTTTTATAGAAATTATTTTTGATGATGTGAGTTATCAATTGATTTAAAGCTATAAAATAGAGAAGTCAATAAAAAGAGAGATATTAGATTATGGACTTTTTAAATAATAAATGAAGAAACATAAATGGTTCTATTATTATGCAAATATTCTTTTTTTCTTTTTTCTTTATTTTCTTGGTCAGGATTTCTTTAAGAATCGTCAATTTTTGACTTAGAAACCACAAATTGAACTTTCTATCTTTTTAGTAGCCAACAATATATGTTTCTACTAATATATATATATATATATATATATATATCACTTTAAGGTTTAAGCTACAAGTATATTCCAAATTTTTATATATACACTTATTATGTCTATACATCCACTCAAAGCTTGTAATTGGCTACTCTTTCTTATCCCGGCACAAGTCCGAGTTCTATCTTCTTTTTTTTTTCTTGTATCAGTGCAAGTCCTAGTTGAGAGAGGAAATCCATGACATGTATTAGAATAAAGAAGAGAGGGAAGAGGAGATCCAAATCCATAATGGAACACGGAAGAACAACCAATCATAGATGTTGGATGTGTATTCAGATATAATAGGTGTGTATATAGTAACTTGAAGTGTGCTTGTAGCTTGAGCTAATTTTAAAAATAAAGCTGATTTTACATTAAGATTACTAGCCTTATTTCATTTCATTTAATTTTATGATTTTTTCATTAGCTTATAAAATTAGATGATTAAATATTTTTAATATGATTTGATTAAAAAGATAATTAATCTTTTAAGATAACATTTATTTAAAATAATTATTTCAATCATAATTTATGTTTATTATATTATATATATTTAGTAATATCAAATCTTTAATTTCAATAAAAACCAAAAGAATGTAGTAAAAACAAAAGTTAAACTTTTAATTATATTTATGATTTTTAAAAATAATAAATAAAAAATTAATAATTACATGGACTAGGTTAAATAATAATTTTTAACTTGAAAAAAAATGTGTAAAAATAAGACTTGTCATAATACACTTATAATTTTATTATATAAAAATTTACAAAATAATATAAATGATTTAGAATCTAAATAAATTTCTAAATAAAAAATAACATATTACTTTATAAATAATTAAAAGTAATATTTTTGAAACTTTTATTTTTTATAGTAAAAAAATTAGTGCTGAATGATAATTAAAATAGGAGTTGAAGAAAAAAATATCCTAATATAATATTAAAACATATTAAATAAAAATATTTGATATAAAATATGTATAATTTATAATCAAAACATAAACCAACAATTATAATTTATTTTTTAAAATAAACTCATTGTTGATGCATGTGTAAAAAATGAGATATTAACATGTGTTTAAAAAAAGATACATTCATTAAGATTTTATACAATAAAATTATAAACTACACACAAAAAATTTCAAAAACCATAGATATAGATATAGATATAGATATATATATATATATATATATATATATATATATATATATATATACTTAACTATTAATACATGCTTAAAGTATAAATCAAAGTAAAGTATTAAAAAACAATTAATTGTGCAAGAATATAAATCTAATACCATTTATTAGTTTAAAAGTATTTTAAGATAATATATAAAAACATGACACTGAGATGTAATTATATACGTGTAAATATATGTATTTACATGTATATAGAAATAAATTAAATTATACACAAAAAAAAACAAAAATATGTGAATAAAACATTCATGTCAAAAAGAAATTTCATTTGTAATTTAAAGTTTATAAAGAAAAAGATAAATAAATAAATTTATTTTCAGTAAATTATTTCATAGTTTAATAGTATAACTAATTTTGATAACACTATCATCAATCCTTTATGTTATGTGAAATTCAAATTTAAAAAGTATTACTTCTATAAAGAAACCATTTGAATAAAATGAAATTATTACAAATAGAATACTTACATGTATCAGATTAGTAACATATTTGAATAAATAATTCAAATTTATCTTTCAACATTGACTATCTCTTATTTTACTTTTTTGTTAATTATTATCATTATTATTTATGGCTGCTCAAATTTATCTAAGAGTAATGTACCCTTACTTACTTGTCTCATATTTTAAGAAATCATGATTTAGGAAAGACATCTATTTATTAGACAACATTTAAATTTGAATATGATATTTATTTAAATTCAAAGCTTGATTTTTTAAATTATAGCTTGAATTTTTCTTTTAAAAGAAACCAAATATAAAAATAATTAAAATATTACTAAAATTATTACGAACATATATAATTTTAAAATAAATATTAAAAATCCATTGACTGCACGCCACTGTTTCATTTGAATAGAGAGCGCAACATAAATAAATAAATAAATAAATAAATAAACAAACAAACAAACAAACAAATACAGTCGTACGGAAATTCATCCATCCAATACTCATCTATCCGCGATACTCGTCCAAGGGTGGGAGGGGATGAAGAAGCTGAGTGACGAAAGTAGCGTCGGAGAATCGACAAATGGTCTGTTCATGAGCAGATTCCACGATAATGTGGACATGAAATTCACTGGCACAGCAACGATTCGTCCACCTCGTCGGCGTTGTCGTCGTCATCGTCGTCAATTCGTCGTGGCTCTGTCATCGCTTCCAATGCATCGCATCGAAGAGCGTTCCACTTCTCTGCTGCTGCGGTTTTCCCGTGCCCATCTGTTGCTCGCTCGGTGCGGTGTCCTAGTCCAAGATTCTTGGGCGCGGGGTTATCGTCGGATCTCGCGCTGAGTGGTCAATCAAGCTCCCCCGTTCACTTCTGCAGCACTTCGCCCTCCGTTCGAGTTGGAAAGGATTGGACGGCTTCTCCCGAGGGTCTTCTCACTCTCTTGCCCCGAAAAGAAGGTCTCCTTGCGTGGTGTACTGCGTACTGAGGACGATCTCCACTGCCTGCGGCGGCCGCATGTTCGACACGCTAGAGCTTTGTCATCAACCACCCATATCTTCAGTAGACAGGTGGATAAGAGACCGTGCTTCTCGTAACCAAGTCGATGCTTAAGCACTGCTCTCGGGATTCCAGCACGAGGTCGAAGTGACGCTTTTCGGGGTACACAGTCTTGACGAGTCAGGAGTCAAGCATGGACCTTATCGCAGGTCAAGAATCAGAAAGTCAGGAATCGACCTTAATTACAGATCGGCTGAGTAACAGCCCAGGAGGAGAGACAGGTATCTATTGTGGACAAAATTAGATCGGAAGCAATTTTAGAAACAGTAGACCACTTAAATAAGGCGAATTCATGCCTACGTGAATATTAGTAGACACGGAGGATCTTAACCAGTTCTCCTAAAGTTTCTCCTGGACAGTGAAGTCTTCCGTACTACGCATACCTTGAGGGAGGTGCAGAGGTCTGAAGTATGCAGTGTTGCACGCTCTTGCAGTACATCGAAATTCATGGAAAGTTGCGCAGTAGTCCTTCTCTTCCAGTCAGATAATGCAGAGATGATTTGCTTGAGACCGACAATGTAGTGCCAAAGACTCTTACGAGTCATGTGTGACTGAAATCCCAAGATAAACCTGGCAAGTCTTCACGACAAGCAGCGCTTCATTGCCGAAGTTGTCATGCCATAGAGGGCACGTTCGCAATCTCAATCTCGATACCTGCAAACCACCACTGATATATACCTCCGAAGCAGCGCCATTGATGTTGACATTGTTCAACAACGTTGCGCGAGACCATATAGACAAGTGAGGAAAAGCGAGGCATTGCAGCCAAGTACATCCTTACCATGCATTGAACTACGCATCCCATCCTGGTGTAAATAGAATCAATTCATTCTTCGGAAGGGTGGTGTTCAGAAACACCAGTTTAGTTGTGGTAAGAGTTGAGATCTCACTTCTTTGCTTTCTTTGCGGGTGACCCTGAAGCTTTAGTCGTCTTCGCCTTGGTTGCAGGTTTCGTAACCTTCGGCGATTTCGTGGTCTTCACCGACTTCGGGGCCTTCTTTGGCGTAGTCATCTTCCTGACCATCGGGGGTTTTCTTCCTGTCACGGGCTTCTTCGCAGGTGCTGGAGCTGCTGCTAACTTCTTTGCTGGTGCGGATAGCTTCGCTTTGGCCTTCTTCGGCGCTGGCGAAGTGGTTTTGCGGGGAAGTGGTTTGGCCTTGACAGCTTTGGTTGTCTTCGCATCTGGCTTCGACGTCTTGGATACCTTTGCGACCTTGACGGGCTTCGCACTGGAGACCTTGGCCTTCGATGCAGCTCCCCCGGCACTTTTGGTCTTCACGCGGCCAGCAGCAGGTTTCTTGGTAACTTTTGCCTTCGCGGGAGCTTTGGCGGCGCTTGGAGCCTTCGCTGCAGCCTTCGCAGGTTTCTTCAACTCATCCGCGAGTTTAAACGAGTTCTTCACCTTCACCAGCTTGCCGGCCTTCGTCAAATTACGTAACTGGATGGACAGCGTCTTCTTGAAGTTCGGAGGAAGACCGGTCTTATAATGGTCTTCCAAATATTTAGCAATGGCATACTGGCTGGATCCGGTCCGCTCCTTCAAAGCACCGATGGCCTCAACTACCATCTGGAAACATGTCAAATTTGCAATCATGAGCACCAGGCAATTATCAATGATTGCATCAATGTGTTAAACGATCCTAGTTCATGTGGTGGTCTTACGAACCACGGATTACTGAAGCACTCATGACAAAAAACCATCAATGACACCAGAAATCAAGACCAAGATCATCACGAATCTCTACAAATACATCACCACACAACCCTCAGAGTAGACGGTTTCCTCCGCCACTGCATGTGAATGGAACTTACCAAGAGATATGATGGGTGCGACGCAGGTGCCTTCGGAGACTTCGCCATTTTCGCCTTCTTCTCCTTAGGAGACTTGGTCTTTTTCTCCTTAGTCACCTTCGCAGGCTTGTCGTCCGCCTTGACATCCTCCACTGGCTCTGGGGCAGGGACGGGGTCAACCGCTGGGGCAGAATCAGTAGCAGCCATTGCAGCGAAGGAAACAAGAAACTTTCTGAACGAACGAACAAAGTATGTCCGAAGCGAAGCAAAGGAGGAACCCTAAGAAGAAATGGGGGGGGGGGCAACAATGTATTTTTTGGTTTTCTGCTCGAGCCTAACTTGAACTGCCCAAAAAAGAAAAACTAAAATCGAACTAACTAACGGCCGCAGGTACAATTGGACTGCGGAGCTGTTGTTGTGACCACACAAACCTCTCTACAGCAACGGCAGCACCCAAGAAGGAATGCAACACGCGGAATACCACCCTCCGAGATGGAGAACGTAGAAAACACGTAACAGACGCCACGAGGGTCTGGTCGAAGAGGAAGACGACGTGACGAGGGCGCAAAAGACCACCAAATTCAACGCGAGCTGGGTGGATGGGATCGCAGCGAAGACGGCAAAAAGTAGAGAGAGTCAGCGAGCACAGATCGAGGGGTGCACGGTGCGAGAATTGAGATAGCGATGGATGTGGTTCCAGGGCAAAACTACTAGCGAAAGGAGGAGAGTGTGGGTTGCGAGAAGAGGCGCCTTGGTTCTCATTCGGGGAGCTGTTCCCCACTGCTCCCATCACAAGGGAACATCCGCTCCCCACATTTGAATTGTTGGGATCTTCGTCGCACGATGCGCTCCCGAATGCGAGAACATCCACGATCCCCGTCTTGTGACCCTGTTCTCACCGGCTCCCCACGGGCTTCTTCGAATCTTTTTTTTCTAAGCTGGATCCCTTAGAACGGGGATGACTACCGAGCCAAATCTTCACTCTCCCTGTTTGGAAGGTCGGAATTCCCCTTGCAATGTGTTGCGTTCCCCTTGTAAGCACTGCGGCGTTCTCCATCTCCCAAGAGATAATTCTCGTGTCATCACAACTAATGAGACCGGCCTTGGGTTCAACATGTGCCGACTACCAAGTACGGCGGTTGACAAGTGGTGACGCTCGCACTGCCGCATTTCTTCTGTGTGAACTCTGCTACGTTGCCTTCTGAGGCAAAGCGCTGCATCTTTGATTGGATTGTCGAAGATTACGGGGGTAAAGATTGTGACTTTGAGCGCTAAGAGGTAGTTTTCATGATATATCGGAGTGACCCACAGTAAAACATCCGCAGCTGGGGTGTAAGGAAGCGTGGGTTTTATAACGCTGAGGAGCCTCTCCGCTTTAGTGGCATATCCAGTGGGATGTACAATTCTTCTAGTTTGATAAGGCGATATTCTGGGCTTGGATTTATGAGGCTGAAACGTGCCTGGTTTTTAACATCCACGCTTTAAGATCTCTGGTGCTTGATAACTGTCAATTTTGTTCATCCACCGTTTTGAGAATAGGCCGGTTTGATGATAACCTATGTAACGAACCAGAGGAAGCCCCACTACTTTGAGAATATGCTGGTCAGATGGGGCATCGTAACAAACATCCGCTCTCGCTCTGCCTGTAATTGGACCATGTATGACCTTCACGGGTCCATCTGTGGTGTGAACGTAGTAGAAGCTCTGCCTTGCGGCAGATCTATCTTCTTCAGATCTTTGTGACGCACACGACAGAATGGATACTGATGATACAGAGGAGAGCAAGAAAGCACAAGAAGGGAAGTGAATTGGACAGAAGGTCGCAGGCCGGCAGGCCAGTAGAAGAAGGTACAAACGTTCTGTGGTGCACCACTTTTGTGGTACCAGAGCCTAAAAGTTGAAATCCTGAACCAGCCGACGAGGTAAAGCAGTCAGCAGCCGGTTTGGCACCGGAAGAACGGATCAACTATCATAAATTATTAGTCACCGTTTCTAAGCGTGTTCGCCGCTCAGCACTCTCTCTGCTAGACCAGATCCTACCATCGCAAGTAAAGCCAGCCTTCTCGCTTAAGGTATTGACGCAATTGACCAACAAGTTCAACTTGGCCACGAATTCTACCAGACTACATACAAATTGAACTAATGAAAAAACTGCAATTCCTCCCGGAACAGGAACCATCAATTGTCGACTGCTGGGTTTTCGATTAATCCGATCAGTTAAGGACCCCTGGCCGGAGGCGGGGGGAAGAGGTTCCATGTCCGTGAGTTCCGCTGAATAACGATGTCTTTCTTGCAGGTCTGAAGATGTACTTTGAAGAAGGCCTGTATTACCAAGGCCTAGAGATAAGTTCAGTCTCTCGTTTTAAGTGCAGATGTAACCCACCATGGAAGAAAGCAAGAACATTCACAAATGGTTGATAAGAGTCAACTTACTGCGCCCTGGTGTCACACGGCTTTGATGACCATATGAGTCCGTGTGGAGATAACCTTCGTCAAGTACCTCTTCTACCTGCATGATCGGAAATGAGAACTCCACGGATTCGTCGTCCTCTGTTGAAGCACGCTTCCCTTCTGTTAGCTCGGCTGCTGCTTCAATTACAAAAAAAACATATCATGAATTATCAGCGGCATGAGATGCAATCATAGCCTGTTTTTCATCGACTTAAAAATTCAGGAGGGAACGAACCTCTGCATTGTAATTAACTAACTACATGTACCTGCAGAACGCCTTGCTTTACTGCTGGACATGCTGGCCCTAGCTCTTTCGTCGTCTTCATCCAAGAAACTCTCCACCCATCTGGCCAAAAGTAGAGCGTGGTAAAAGCGGAAGACGCCAACTGATGATCCTAAAAAATGAAGCTGAAATCTGATCTGCCTCTTCATCATTCCATGCATGGAGAGCAACTTAATTCATGTCTGGACTGAAATCCAAATGTATGAGTTCCACCCATGGATACAACTAGCAATGTTACGATCTAAACCATACCTGTCGGTCTCGGGAGTGGGGGTTATCAGTAATGTTGCTTTCTCCTGCAGTTCTTTCTGCAGATCCAATGCTGCAGCATCTACGGCAGTGATGTAAGGTCGAAGATTCACCATTTTCATTTCTGACACGCATTCTCCCATAGCTTCTAATACCTGACGGTAATGTGGATACAAGTTGGAGAAACATTCATCAGAGACTCAACATTCACTTTCAGAATACAAGGTTCAGGAGAAGCACATTTGGCAACCTTGTAAACTACATTCATCAGTTCTATGCGCGAACAAGGTCTGCATATCATCGTGCGGAATGCAATACATACCTTGATCGCTTCTCCAGCAAGGCGAGTCATAGGGCGAGATAGAAGTTGACGTATATTAACAGGGCACTGAATCTCTGATCGAAGACAGCCATCCATGGCTAACACTATGTACATACAGTGCCGACATTGTCGCGAGACATCTTTATACAGATCCCACGGATACTTCAACTCAAAATGACCATGAGGTGGTTCATATACCACCAATTCATGCTGCGAAATAACACAGCTGATTGTCTGTCATTCTAAATAATCAAGACTTGTTAACGCAACATGAATTCAAACAAGAGTAAATTGGGATGTTAATGAAAAAAGGGTCAATGCTCTAGCGAGAAAAGGTCATGTTAAGAAAAGGCATGAAGGTGACAGATAAGAGAACAACTGTAAGAAGACATTCGGTTGTTGGAATGCAAACTTAATTTGCCACCTAGTATGCTATCCATGAAGAGAACACTTGTTTGCAACAGGAGGAGATGAAACTAACCAATGCACTTTCATTTTCTTTTGCAAGGATAACGGTTTTGTATCCTTCATACACAACATCTTCAGGTTCAGGTCCCTCTAAAATTCTCTCAAAATCTGCCATCCGACTCCCTGCTACATATGCTTGAACACATGTTTCCAGTGCAAGCGCGATCTGCAAAGCCGAAGTTGAAAATCACAGAGCAGCGAGATCAGTCTGGGGGCTAGGTGTTACATGCTAGCACCACTGTAATCAGACATTTCCACAGCGACTTTGTAATTCACGGTTACAAACAGCGAAGAAAGTGGGTGCTTCTAAATTCAAAATATTATTCGAATTGAATAACATGTGAAATTTGATAACACAGTTTACGGACTTACTTTATCGAAATGCGCAGCAACCACTTTATGCAGCTCATTGCCTGCAAAATTCGGCTTAATACCAATGTTGGCCCCAAATGAAATGGCAAATCCCACAAGTATAAGCAACATCCGCAACCCCGCTAGCCTTGGTCCCTCATGTGTGCGATACCTGATGGCGAAAGTAGACAGAATCACCAAGAATATGTTCGTTTAAATTTGCTCAGTTATTTAACAGTATCAACCGTTATCCATAAGTATTCCGGCATGGCACGCAAGACCTGTCAGCCTTCTCTGAACTAGATATTCTATCCAAAATGAATAGGATGAGTACGTGTTCAGAAAGTTTTTAAATTTTAAATACAATCGAACTCTTGAAATCACCTCCAAAGATATAGTCACCCTGTGTTATACCCACTGTAGGAGAAGAAATCGAGAGGCCACTTTGAAAATGAAGAGCTTAAGTGTGTGTGGCATAGAAAAGGCACTTACTCACTCAATGTGAGAAATCCAAATGTAGCAAATCCGGTAAGGGCAGCATAATCGTACTTCTCCTTCACCGGAGGCACCTACAGAATGTAAGGGAATCTATTAACATACACATTCAAAAGTTCTTCAACATGCTGGCGTATATCCTCGTATTCACTCTCACGCTCTAAACTTCCACTGACTAACTTACCACGCTCATAAACATGGTCGTAAGGGTGCAGACTGAAAGGATAACCATGTCAATCACGAACAGCTAATTCATTTTCATTTGTAGCTAGAAAAAACTGACGTAATGATGTCAAACCGTACCTGTCTAATAAAACCAAGCAACCATGACCCCATAAACAAGAACACAGGGATCAGATACACCTCGGCTCGCCCGGAAATTTCCGTCATTTCAGAACATGCAAGAGCGACCAAAATTGCTGACACTGTCCCAATCATGCGTAGTATTCCCTTAGACAAAAAACTACCCACAGTAGGCTCATAAATAATAATAACCTGCAGTTCGCACACATCACAAACCACAGTATTTCTTCCATAAATCAGTTTGTACCCTACACAAGCAAGTAAAAGCGATTGATGTTTGAAACCAACATCCAAGTCCACTTCAGCTGATCGCACAGTAGCCCTCGGAATAAGAGGCAAATTATTACGTAGCACCCGCAACAAGTATAAGAATTTTAACGTATCCTCAAAAAAACTGAACCAGCGAGAGTAACCTGGTTACTAGTATCGCCCACTAACAGAAGATGTTTGAGACAGTCAAAAGAAGTTTCAAAAAGTTTCAAAATTTTGTTTTGACAGTCAACAGTTACCATTTCACTTTTAATCTTCAAAGTTTCGATCTTCCATTAGTTTCACTGCAAATCAAACCCACAATAGAAACTACATGGATGGCCTCGTGAAATCTTTTGTGAAAAAAAATAGAATACGTGTACATAAACACTGTGTCTGCTCAAGAGAATCAGAAATGCAGCGAAAATACTTACGCTGATGATAAGCCACAAGCTATTCATTCCAAAATAGTCGTAAAGGGGTCCTACGAGAACCGGTGTCGAGCTCAATAGTACTGCTAGTGCAATTTTGAACCCATGCCATTGCTCGTCCTTATGTATTTTCAAATAGTGTCTAATTCGTCGAACCTTCTGTTTCAGCTTCTCCTGCGTCGCAATTCGCCTAGCACCACCTTCGATGGAGTTCACGCGTGTCAGGATCGGCTCTACTTTAACTTCGATCGATTCTGTTTCAATCGATCTCAGATTCTCAGGTGGAGCTTGAGGATCCGGAAGACTTTGTGAAATTCCTTCAGTATTCGTATCGTGCTGATACATAGTTTCTACATTAGCGGCAACCCTCCTACCTTCCGTAGAAGTGTAAAGTAACTTATCTGAACCCCGATCACTTCGACCGCCCCCCAAAAAATAAATGTTACTTGGAGTGATACACCCTCTTCAGATCCAAAACACGCCCAAGTAGTGAAGAGATGAAGAAGCTGGCGTAAGACTATTGTTTATGCATCCGACTAAATGCCTCTTGTTTCATTCCTGCATTGCCAATCTTGCAAGAATAGAAGAGAGACGAGAAGAGATCTAGCTCGCATCCGTTTTGAAATCGTCAATGTCGACATCAGAGCATCACTCTCGAGCAGTTGCCATTAGGTCGGCGAGGGCAAAGGACAGAGCAAGAGGCAGCTTCAAAAAACATTGTCTACTAGACTACGATTGCAAATTTCGTGGTTACAAGGGAAGGATAACCCAGACGGAGCGCAAGGACAACTGAGATAGGAGATAGGAATTACACAGCTGGACAGTACGGGGCAGCAACAAGGGGCAACAAAAAGTATACTCTGACGCTTCTCATAAATTAGTCCCATTTGAAATCTAAGCAAGAGCCAGCTTGGCGGGAATCAGGTCACTCCAGCACCCCTCACATTTCCACAGAATAAAAAGGGTACAACTATGCGCAGTTCCCACGAGTTTTATTATAAAAAAAAAAAAAAAAAAAAAAAAAAAAAAAACTCAACTTAACAAGCAGGCTGGGCTTTCACCCCCTCAAGGACCACCCAACGGAGGATGGAAGAAAAAGCACTTTTCGAGCTGAACAAGATTGAAAACCTCTCCAAACCCCTTTCACGAACAAAAACGCTGTTCCCACTCCACCTACACCCACTGCAGAAACCGCAGCAGACAACACGACGGAACAAACCACAGCCAAAGCCACCGCGAGAGAAATCGGGAAGAGCGGGGAACACACCACGGCACTGCACTAGAAGCGGGAAGCGTCAGGTTGCGTCTATTCCAAAACAGAGTTCATACACATCACCGGTGCTGCATAGCGCGGCAATGTGAGAGCTACAATAGCAAAATGCGGGTCCAGTCACGACGCTGTTCCCTCGCTGCCCAAAGACGGGCACCCATGAGAGCCCAACGGTGAATGCCTTGCCCGCTTGCCTGCCTCACAGAGATCAAACGAGGCAGCAGAGCCCAATTGTGGGTAGAATCAATACAAAGGCAAAGGGAACTTCATAACATCGCTCTCTACGTCCCCTTCCTTCCCTTCTTCTTCGTCAACGCCATGTCTGAGACATCGTCGGGACACACTCGCACGCGCCGCTCCTGAAACCTCGTCCTGGTCTGCGTCGCATGAGCGCGCAGCTTCAATGTAGTGAGATGAGAAAGGCAGGGAAGACATGAGCAAGGTAGGGAAGTGATGAGGTGGGGGATTTTTGTATTGTGTAGAGAGGAATTGGGTGCCTAGTCTAGGTCATGGCCGCGCTGCTGCAGCTCGATTTTTGGTGGGGATTTGACTGTGCGCGAGCTGCGCTGCGTCGCCCCCCGACCCCACCTGACTTTGCGACACTTTTCCCTCTCTGGGCCGCTTCTGGGGTAGGTCGCAAATCTGGTGGATCGCTGGGCGGGTAGGACACGAGGTCGTAAAACCGTGTGGGGTGATTAGAATGCGGTTGAACGTCTGATTATTTGTGTGTATAGAGATCTCCTATTTGTAGTTTAAACTTATGATTAGTGTGAATTCATTTTCTAATGTGGGGGTTTTGTGGGCGGAAAAACATATATGTGTGTTTTTTTGTTTAATTCTGTGTGTATTAGTGGTTAGTGATTGTCTTTTACGAATTGTGTATTGGTAGGGAGGTATTGTTGTTGTGTGTGTCTTGTTGTGATGTTGATAATGTGATTGGCTCAAATTATTTTTGCTGTGTGGATAAAGATTACAATGGTTCCATATTTTCCTTCATATATATATATATATATATATACATATACATGGAGGGAATTGTTAAATTGACCCAAGCATTTGCTAAATTCACTCACGCATCATAGTTGGTTGAGGATCCAACTATTTTTTCATTGGTTTTTGGCCAACATGGATCTGGCAGTGGAGAATTTTTTGATGATGGTTACAAGGGGTGGATTGATTTAATAAATATGTGGGTCAGTTTAACAATTTCTTATCTATATCTCTCTCTATATATTTACATATATATACATATAAATACACAAAGACTAATTGTATTATATTAGAGTAAAAATTATATATATATATATATATATATATTGAGATTCAAACTGACTTATAGGCCATTAGATTAAAAAAAAAGGTTTAAAAACACATAAAACTGGATAGAAAAGTATTAAAATAATTATTCTTCTAATTCTGAGTTTAAAAACTTGTTGTTTAAATAAGCTTTGATTTGCCATCTAAGCTTTGAAAGTTAATTCTTGTGAAGTTTTAAAAACAATTTAAGATAGTTTTGAAGAATTTGAAAGGCTGTAATTGAATGTTAAGGATTCTAAAAGAAATTAGAAGACAATATCCCAGTCATTATCTCCTATTTAGGGAAAACTTAAAATAAATAAAGTATATAAAAAGATTAATATAATTTTTTTTTAAGACAAAGTGATGTGAAAATCATCAAAAGTAATGACAGTATTGAAATAATAATAAAAAATAATAAATTAAATACCACCAATAAACTTAATTGTATTTATATGCCATTAATTCGTTTTAAGTATACTTTCAAACATGACTCGATGATCACCTATAAATATGAAGCCTGTTTATATTTATATTTATATTACCAAATAATTAATACATGGTTCAATCTTACACCTTCAAATGTGTTGGATCTTAAAATTTGACTGTAACATCACTTAACATATATAAAACATTTTCCTTTTGTAACATATCATTTAATTGGAATTATATATTTATATGTTTCAAAAGTAGAGTAAAAAATAACAAAAATTCATATTAATTTTTGATTATTATGAAAAGTCTCAACAATATAAGTATAAATTGACTCACAGATTTCTTTATTCTTAAATAAAAAATCCAAACCAATATAAAAGATAATAATTATTGCAATCATTTTTGAAAACTTCATGTAATAAAAGTGAAATATTTCATTTGATTTTAGATTTTTTTTAAAATCTGGTTCTTTTTGGTTTTTAATATTCTTAAATATATTAAATTAATGAAAAACTAAATTTCCACACATTAGATAAAGTCAAAATAAAAGAATCGTGTGTGCATAAATTGACACCTTATATTACCCTTAAATTTCTCTTGAACAAAGTTTTCATTTGTTATATCTAGGATTTTTATATTACAGAATACCCCAAACTCAAAATGTTAGAATCATAAAAATAAAACATATTTAATAGAGACAATTATTATCGTTGAAAAAAATAAAAAAATAAAAAATAGAGCAAAGATTTAAAATAACATATAGTTCATGTAGAAAATTTAACTATATATATGAGAAACGTGAAATAAAAGCAACGTTTGATCATTTAAAATTTCAATTTTACTCCACTTAGAGTAAACCTTATTCTTAAATTTAGTTTTGTCAGAAATGGTTTTCAGAGCAACAAGTTGCAGAAGTTACATGAAAATACTAATTCTTTTTATGAAGCTTCCATAACATTAGATCTAGAGAAGTGCCACCATTTTTGTATTATTGTACTCCTCTCTTTTACTATTTATTTATACTATTCTACACCATGATTTTTTTTGACAAAATATTTCTTGTCTTTTATTCTCTCTTTATCTCTAATTGTAATGTTAACTAGTTTAAAATTTTCTTTATAGTTTACTATTAAGTAGTGTACTAAGATTTATCTGTAATTTCTTTCTTTCATATTTTGTAACTTTTAAAGGAATGGTAAATATAATTAAAATATCCATGGAGTAAATTGTAGGCATCCACTTCTTTTTTAATTTTGTTTTTTTTATTATTTTTTAAAATTATTAAAACTATGGTTGGTAATTATACCATAGTTTCAGTAATGCAGTATCAACCTAATATTCATCTTACAGTGCTTGTTTTAAGAAATTGTATTAAACATATTGGGTTCAAAATAATTATATTCCAAATAATATAAATAGCATTAAAGCTGTATTTCATTGAAATATATTATACACTTGTATCATCTTAATATAATAATTAATTTTAAAAACATCAGTTTCAAGAACTGTAAAGGCTGTGCCTCATGATCTCATTCTTCCTTCAAATCATCCTTCAACTAATGATTTTCAAAATAAAAATTCAAAAACAATCACCATTTAATAATCATAATACTGATATTTTATTACAATCAACATGTAAATGTAAATTGCAATGGATTATTTGTCTTGAAAATTCTTAATTAACTAATTAAAAAATCCCAGAATAACTTTTTTATTGATGAGAAACTTAAATTAACTCAATTTGTAGATCCAAATACAACAAAATATGAATTTATTTGTCTAAATCATCGACTTTGGTAACATTCAAAAGCTAGGATTGCATGTTATCATGAGATTTTTCTGAAGTTTCATATCTACAACAAAAACTGCTTATTATAATCATAAATTTTATCAATAAAGACATTACATATTGTTATTGCATTATAACTTCCTTTAACACTCCATCCAAAAATCTCTACCAAATATAAAAAAATCTCTTCTTGTAAACTGTACTAAAGCTTCTTATAGAATTCAAATAATCCCAGTAAACCTTACAAAACGAATAGTTCTTCAAGTTCCTTTACCATAATGCCAATTCTACTATATTGTCCCCATCTTCTCTATGTCTTTTTACACATCCTCTTATTTTTCTACTTTTTCTCTTGCAAAGAAAAACATTAACATAAAGGTAAGACATTACAAGTTATATATATATATATATATACATATATATATATACATACATATATATATATATTAATAATCATTTCTCAAATGCAAAAATTAGTGAATTTTTTAAATGTTCTCTTTACTTTTCAAAATGAAAATGAAATTATTACCCAATGAAGCATGGAGATTAACATAATATGTTTTCAAAAAATTAAAAATTCTTTGAAATAATATTGCATTACTATTAAAAACCTGAAATTTTAATATAAATAAACATTTGGTAAAAATATAATTTACCTATTGCATTCTTTAAAAATCTATCAAGCTATTGAAAATATTTGAATTTTAAACATTAAAAAAGGCCATTACTAACCAAATTTTGAATTTTTATTAGCCAAAAAAAAAAAGATTTTGGAAAATAAAAAATTATAAATTACAAATGGTTGAAATTAACCCTAATAAATCTCAAAATTAATCTCAATTTTTTGGCCAATTGAGAGATTTATTTTTGATTATGTTTAGTTTTTCAATATTTTATCTAAAATTAACATAATATCTATCATTATAAAGAGTTAATATATTTTTAATAGCATTTGAGAAGTCAAATTTTAGTTGATAATGTTTGATCTTCACCTTTGGAAAATAAAATTATTATTCTTCTTATCACACTTAGTGGAAATTATTCATATCCAAGAGCAGAATTAACCATGTGTATATGTCTCAATGATATCTTTTAAAAAATACATGATATATAATTTAAACTTAATAAATGGACAATGATTTTTTTGGCATGCATGTATTTTATTCATTTTTAGGTAATAAAATAATAACAAGATTTTTTCAAAAAAATAAAATTAGCCAAAAATCATCACATAAGTCTATACAAGTTAACTTCAATTGTATTTTAATGATTATTCATGAATTACATCTTACATGAGATATAACTTTTTATAATGTACTTGTATTTATGATTATTATAGAATATATATATATATATTTTTTGTAATAACCTTAATTGATAAATTATATATATATAAGAATATTAAATAGAGTCAATTTTTTACTAAATTGACTCACCCTATTTAAACCATCATGAAAAAAATATAATAAAAATGACATCTAGATTCATTTTTCCAGTATTAGATTTGTAATTAATAAAGACCAACCACATTCATTGTGATTACCATATTCTTGATTAAGAGTATATTTAATAAAAGCATAGATTTATTTGATATTTCTAAATATATATATATATATATATATATTTATAGTATACTTTTTATAGCTACCAAATAAGTCTAAGTTGAAAAGAATTGATTACATAGGTGTAGAGCTATGACCAATCTAATTTGGAGCAATATCAAAACAATTTTTTGAGTGTGGTATCTAATTTTTGGATTCTATCAATTACTCAACATTATATCATTCTATCATTATCAATTTACTATGATTATATTGTTACTAATCTAATGACATCATTAATGCTTATCAGCAACTATAAAAATACTATTCTTAATCTCAATTCCTAATATTGATATATTCCAAATTATCACATTCTAGGACCTTTTAAAATCTTCTAGATACTTATAGAATCTTCCATAATATTTTAAGAAGTTCCATAGGCTTCTAGAAGCCTTTTTAGACTTTTATAAATTTTTATAGAAAGTACCATAGACTTCTATATCCTACATTATAATATAAATATGAGTCTTTGGAACAACTTTTGTTATCAATTTCATTCTTTGTCTTTGATCTTGACATATTTTTTTGTCAGATTCTTGTATCCTTAACAATTCCTTCGATAACTATAAGATCCATTCTCTACTCTTTTCAAGACAACTTCATCTCTATTTTTCTTCATTCTCAAAAATCTTATAGCCAAATTGCTTTTAAACTTGGTTGTAGTAAAGTTACTATTTGTAGGCTAGCAAAAAATGACATTCTTCATAGGAAGAACCTTAAATTAGGTAAACCAAAGAAGCTCACTATAGTAGATGAAAGATCAATTATTAGCCAAATCAACACTAGGAAGGTTGAGAATGTTGTTGAGGCTACTAAAAACCTTAACAACATTATCAATAATCTTGTGTTGATCCAAACCATTTAAAATGTTTTGAAGATATGGAATATAAAAGCTGTGGTGAAGAAAAAAAAAAAAAAAAAAAAAACCACTATTATTTGCTTGCTATCAAAAACAATGCTTGGATTTTGCTCTAAAGTATAAGGAATAAATTGTGGAGGATTGAAAGAGGGTTATTTGGTCAAATGAGACAAAAATCAACAGATTTGGATTAGATGGCAAAAAGTGGGTGTAGAAACAAAAGAGTTAGTTCTTACTTGACAAGAAGATCCAAAAAACAGTCAAGCATAGAGGTGGAAATATCATCATACAAAGGTGTATAGGATGAAATAGAATTGAAAGGATGACAAAAGTTGAAGGGAAGATGGATGCCAAGCAATTTGTAGAAATTTTTGAAAAAAGCATACTCCTTAGGATTGAGGAATCTGACATTTCTAACGAGAAGGTGATTTTTGAGGAAGATAATGACCCCAAGCACAACTCAAAATTGGCATGGAAGTAGTTTGATCATTATGGAATTGGCTTGCACAATTTCATAATCTTAATGCCATTGAACATCTTTAAGAGCACCTTAAATGCTAGCTCAACACCTAGAAGATAAAACCAAAAGGGGTTTGGAAATTATGAGAAAGAATAGTTGTGAAATGGGATGATATTGAAGCAATTTTTTGTCAAAAGTTAATAGAAAGTATGCCCATGAAGTTGGAAGTAGTTATCAAGGCCAACAAAGGTCCTACAAAGTGTTGATATGTAATTGGATACCACACTCAAAAAATTGTTTCAATATTGCTCTAAATTGGATTGGTCATAGTTCCACAATTACTTGATGGATTCTTTTTAATTTAGTTTCATTTGGTAGCTATAAAATAATATTTTATTTGCTACACAAACCATGTGTCATTATTCACTACAATTCATCTATATTACACCATTCTTTCCAAAATATGTCAATATTGAAACAATTTTTTGAGTCACTATACATACTTGTGTATATATATATATATATATATACACACACACACAATTAAATAATTATCTTTTCTAAGTATTTGAGTAGAATATTATATATTATTATTATTATTATTATTATTATTTAAGGTGAAGATATTTTTTAAAAAAATGTTTTAAAAAAAGAAAAATATTATTTAATGCAAATTAGATCAGATGGAAAATAAATAACATAGAAGTAATAATTTGTTGAAGTATAAATTTTCCTAGATTTAGAGTATTAAGTAAAAGAGTATTTCAAAGAAATAAAGAGTATTTTATAAGATTGGTTGTGACCTTTGAATCATTATTTTTTAATTCTATCATGCAAATATGAAAAACTTGTTTATCTAATATTTTATTTTGTTTACATTATACAATCTTACTTGCAACATAAAAACTAAACAAATGCATCTCTACATCAATATGTTTTGAAATTTTAATTAATTTTGTGTACTATGCTTAAATAATATTTTCAATTGCCTTAAAAGTGAGATTTATTCTCTATAGTAGTGAAAATCAGTTTCATGTTATAAAAGTGTAATTTTTATAATCACCTTCAAACAACAATAGATTTACTATTATTCACCTATACATACAATCACAACTACATGTAAATAAAAATCAACCTAACAGACTTAATTTATTGCTTGTGTTAGACAAGATAGAACTTTAGATTCAATTGTCATGTATCAAAAACGAATACAACAAAGTTTCCCATGATCTAATTTCATATTGGCAGTTTTAAGTCAAAAGTAAAAATAAAAATAAGTTTTCCAAGCAGTACTTATGAACTTTAATGTCACATTAGAAGTTAAAATTTCAACACACACCAATATAAGCACGTTGTGCATCGGATGCACACGATCTTGGCATTTTTCCAACTTTCAATTGAAGTCACCAATAAATAACTTCAGCTCAAACGATTTCACTAATACACAGATATACAAAGTTCTTTCTTAATACCGAAGATGAACACGAAGACTATAAAAAATAAAAAAATGCGTGAAAAGTATAGAAGGGTACAAAGTACATAGGATACAGTGTCGGTGATAAAATCCACGGCGGTTTCGGAGACAACTTTGTCCAGCACACGATGCGATCCACATGGTCCCGGAAGCAGCAGACGAGAACACCCATGACTCCACCAACAATCACTTATTCACATGCTCGGAAGGCAGAAAGATGCTTGGTTTTTGCACAATAGCAAGTCAGAAGTCGGTCAGAAACGCAAGATGCACGGATTGTCGAAGGTGAGATTGCTGCAAAGGTGCTCTCCGCACAAGCCAACCAGAAGAAGACCATGGCTCAAATGGGGATCGATTCTAGCCCCTGATATTTCGCTGCTTCCCTTTGTGCTATGTCCAGACTTGATCAGAACTGCTGTGCATTTGCAATTCAAATTTGTGACCTTGCTCTTTGATGACTTCTTTGATTTCTACAACAACAACAGGGTTGAACCCACATGTGAGTTCTGGGTGTTCCGAAAGAATGAGCTCCTGTGGCACCGAGTTTTGATCGACCGTCGGAGCACGGCTCAAGGGCCTAAACAACTGCATTGATTGTGGAGTTGAACTGTGTTGCTAAGTTTGAACGCCTGTCGCGGATGCCTGGATGCCCCTCTTGCAAACACGAGGGTGTATACTCGTAGGCGATGGCTCCCTCGGATGGCCGAGACTTGGGCGTTTCAGCTGCCGTCCAAAGCGACACCACCACGATAGACGGATAGTAGTTCTTTTTGCAGAACATGTAGAAAATGACTGTGGCGACGGGAAGGATAATCAGAATGGGGGTGAAGAGGAACTCCTTGACTCCGAAGTAACCGAGAGCTGTGATTTGAGCGACAAAGAGCGCTGCTAGGATTCGGTTGTGGATATGGGGCCACATGCTACCATGGCTCTCGAAGTCTGGAACGTGAACGTTCAAAGCCTGCAGGTGACGCACCCTCGGTGTGGTCAACTACATGGTAAAATTTATAGTTGCAATAAAGGTGATAGCTCGGCGTAGAATGATTTTTACCTGATTGCGCTGGACAAACCATCCCAGGACGTAGTACGTGAAGGCAAAGGGAATGACCATGGGGGCGATCACAGAGTAGCAGAGAGAAATTGTGAGGATGAGCAAATCATTGGGGATGCTTTTGTGGTATGTGAAAGCCCCAGGTGCCCATGCCTCTTTGAGCTCCCGCTCGGTTTTGCACTTGAATTTGCGCTTGAAGTGAAAGATGCATAAAGGAATCAGACGGGACAATTCCAAACCGTAACCAATGAAGAACCTGCGCATGAAACCAGCAATTTATCATTTTTATCCTGTAGGTTATCGTAAAAAAGCTTCAGCATTGCTCACACATTGGGTTCGTAGGTGCGTGGATTCACGAGCAGAGAGAGCATATGATGTTGACCTGAGAGCGACATATGTTATGTAGTAACTAGCAACTGGAGGCAGCTTGGAACCCAAAAGCGTCACCACTTTGTTGGCTGAGAGCTGGCTCTGTTGCACGAGAATTTTGACACTGCTGAGGTTCGAGAAGACAGCGCCGAAGATGGTAACTCCGAGGAACACGTTGAAGATGATGAAGTAGAAATATTTCGACGAGGCAGAGCGCACTACTTGGGACTGAGACGGGAAACCTTCAGCGTGCGACAGCACCATCATAATCTTGGGCAGAAGAAAGAGAAAGAGAAGAAGCGCTAGTTGGGGTAAATATCCCTGCAAGGTTGAATTAGATACACACCAACATTAATTTGATTGACTCGATCCTACCATTTTATCGACAACCAATTGGTGGAATTTAAGAGCGAAACTACTTGACAATTTCGAAAATGGCCAGCTTTTCATCTAAAATGAAAATAATCACCTGGACAATGGCTCCGACGACTGGGATCTTGGTGATGTTACTGGTGAAAGGCAGAAGTTTCTCCAGATTCTCAAGGGTTGTGAGCCCCGCAACGAACGCTATAGGAATCATATAGAATATGACCAAGAAGAAGGTGATAACTGAGACGATGATTCTTCTCATAGCACGATTCCATGCATGGATGTGCAGATTGTTCCACACAACCTCCTCGGGTTCGGGTGCTTGCGATACCTTCCAAAACAGAGCGTGAGGTGCATGTACCACCTGCAATAGAAACGACAGCAATTCAACTCAAGATTTTCTTCTAAAGAAAGACAGTGAATTCAAGCCACAGACAGCGACATTTTGTAACCACAACAGCAGTCTAAATTGACCCGCACCTGAGAAGCTTCGGCGGCAGTGCGCCGGTCATTGAAGATGACGAACGCAGCATCTTGCTCTAGATCATGGCGAGTTCGAGACTGCTCGGCATCAAGTTTGGGTTTCATTTCCTCGCTTTTCTGTCTCCAGTAGTCGATAGAATCGACCTTTCGGCCCCACAAGCCCATGAATCCAATCCTGTGCATAGGCCGCTCTCCATCGCCGTTACCCTTTTGCTTTGACAACTCCCAAACTGCTTCAGAATGCTCGAGTTTTCGCAAAGCGTCTTCACGTTCGCTGAAGAGCTTCTCGACCTGCCCAAATCACTAGCCCTTCGGTGTCAGATGCGTCATTCTTGAAACTAACGATTCCGTGAAGTCGATGGACATATGAGTGATTCAAAGATCGAGTTTCGAATGAATGTGCGCTAGGGATCGAACACTTACCGGTTTGATGTTATAAACAGGTTGCACTCGATTATAAGCGCCCGGATGAACTCTTGCGAAGAAGCTCTCTACTTGCTGGGCACGAGTTTCCTTTCCCATCGGCTTCGGAATATCTCTAACCAGCGCAGTGAACTGTTGAGGTCGAGCGTTCGAGGAAGCGATTTCTCGATCACGCAAGTCCACGACCCAACGGTACGATCTCCATAAGACGAAGTAGACCACCATAGAAACATAAAACATTCCAATGAGAAATGCCCATATCTTCCTGCTGTTTGGCTGTCCAACAATCCCAGCCACTCGCATGTTAGAACATTGATTGGATCAATTCTTGATTCAGAATCACACCACATCTGGCAACATAGAGGAGACGAGCTGTGAGCTGTTAAAAATAGATTACCTCGACATTAGCCATCCCTAAATTGTCAAAATTTTGATATGTGAAATTGCCTGTCGTCCTGAGTTGCTGTTGATTGTAGCTGCTTGTTGACGACAGAGGAACCAGGACAGGTATACAATATAGCGCCGACAACCCAATAATCTCCACAGCTGAAAAGCATTCCGATTGATTATTATGTAGAAACGGTTTAAGTAGCAAATTACATCCAGTACAGCCAGCTTGACAAATTTCGGCAGGATGAGATTAATAATCGTACGTGAACTTTCAAATTGTCAAGAGTCAACATCCACAAGAAAAAAGTGAGGACATACCTGCAGTGAAGAGATGAATGTAAACCGCAGCATCTAAGCCTGCAGCAGCAACGATTTCTGCATCTGTAGCTCTATAAGACTCTGTGATCCATGAGAATGGTCCTCGGCGTTTGGCCGCCACTGCTCCATCCTCGCCCCGGAGGATACGAAGAGGATAGTAGACCGGAGCGTTTCCTGGCCGACGAGATAGTATAAAATACACTAACATTAACACACAAAACACTACGAAAGAAGTCACCAGGGACGTAAGGAACGACGTCTGGGTGGCCATCTTGCCAACTCCTTTCTTCTCACTTCAATCCCGCACTCCTAAAACCTCAAATCCACAATAATCAACGCGAGACTCGGCATTACGCTACCAATCCCATCTCTCGCACCATCCCGCCATCAACAATAGCAAGAAAGCTCCCCCTCGCCGGCAGTAGCACTCTCCAATGCCCCGAATATTACAGCAGAAAGCATGAGAGGAAAAAAAAAAAAAAAAAAAAAAAAAAAATCCTTCGCGCGCAGACATCCAGGAATCGAACACCGCTGAATCTCTCACGCGAAATCCTCAGCCCAGCGACGATCAAACTGAAAAAAGAGTCCGAACCGAAACTCTATCACGTCGTTTCTTTCAGCTTTAGCTTCGAGCCCCGAGCTTCAATTTCGCACAAAAAAACGGAATTCAGGCCACGACAAGGGGGATCAAGACATCGACGACACGCACAGGATGCGGCAAGTGACTAACGGCGATGGAGGATTATTTGATTGAGTTTCATCAAGTGCGAGAGCCCCGACGGCAAAGCTGTGGCGCACAAGCTCACGGCAGCAAAGAGACAAGTCTAGCTTTCCATCGCCCTCGCTCCATTTATGCAATTGAGACCCTGTATTACCCGGTCTGAGATCCTGTAGTTACCCGGAATTTGACCCTGTGACGTGGAGGCACTTGCAGAATTCCGGCATCGATTGGACACGTGGAGTGCGTTGGTGGACTAAGCCTCGTTGTCTCCTTCATTGGAACCTCACACGACCACGTGCTGCGCTGTCCATTATCATCCTTCAGGGACGATTTCTGGTTTTAGTTCATTCATCCGCTTCATCGATGCGATGGTGTATATGGATGAATATCGTTTGACCTTTTCGGATGTAAGTCCTAGTTTCTTTTTTTATCTTTTTTCCTTTTGGAACGTAAGGAGGTGGACTCCTTTGGTGAGATATACCATTGTACAAGTCCAGAAACCACAAAAAGTGATCAACAGACATTTATGGACCTTTTTGTGTATTCCCAAAGTTAGAAAACATCTTAAAAATGGGATAAGTTACAATAAATTAACTACACAACAATCAACAATCAATTAACTTATATAGTCTTTGCATCTATAACACTTGCCATGAATCAAGTCATTCACAAAATAAAATGATGTCTTTCATAGCTTCACTTTATATAAAGAAATGTTAAATAGACCAAGGTTTTTACTAAATTGATTTACCCATGATGAATGTGGTTAGTTTTCATTGGTTTCAGATCTAGTAGTGGTGAAATGAATGTAAAAGTCATTTTTTATTTATTGATGGTGAGTCAATTTAGTAAAAGCCTAGGTCTATTTAAAATTCGACTTCATTAATATATATATATATATATATATATATATATGCATAATACAGCACTGATTACTTCTATCACACACAATCAACATTGGCCCATGTTGTAATAAACATTCATGTTGTAATAAACATTCATGTTGTAATAAAATTTTATTAAATTTAACATTAGAATTACCCCTCTCCCCTCCTCCTGAGTTCAAAAGAAAGTGAAAAACAAGAAGAAGAAGCGTTCTTGGGGTGGATGAAGGTTTTTTTCGGGCAGAGGATCAGGCAGCCCAGAGAGCCTTGAACATTCTCTTCACGTAACTGCTGCCCGAGGGTCACGAAACTTCCCACGTGGCAGAGTGATCAGCGACGGTGGAGGCTGCCCATCGAAACCCCCGACTTGACGTGGCCTTTAAAAATGATTCTATTGGTCTGATCAAGCCACGAAGCTTCCAGGCTGCTCCACAACGAGGGCCATGCCAAGGGCACACGTTCTCTCGTTGTATTGTGATCTGAGAACGTGTAATAGTGATGGGAACGCGTTAAACAAATTATATTACATTAAGAATAATGGCAATGAAAATAATTATATACTGTATTATTTATCATAGATTTTGTAGATTAGTTTGAAAAAGCCACAGCTATTACTTTTTTTTTCCAATAGAATATTCGTTTAAATTATGTTAAAAAGAAATGAAACTTCATACTTTGTGTAAGATTTGTTTATGTTAGAAAAAATTATACACACACACACACACATAAATATATATATATATATATATATATATATTATAAAAACCTTAAGCATGCAATACTCATACGTTCAAATGTGTTTTCTTTTATAATTAGAATTTTAATTAGCTTTATCAACTATTGATTTTTTTACTTGCACAAATTGTATAGTGTAATCAAAAATGTGTTGTAACTCTACTTTTAGGTTTATAATCAAATAGAAATCTGGTAGAAAATTATAAATTACTAAATTTTGATTCTATTACTAGTGATTAATTAATTAATTAATTAAATAAGTATGTATATGCTTGTAATTATTGTAAATAAAAATATATTTTAAAAATTATAAACCAAATATACTTTGATCTTGCTGGTTCTTATTGTGTTAAAAGTATGGTTAAAGAAAAAAAATTGTAAAATTAATTAAACTAAAAAATAAAAAATAAAATCATTTCACAAAACATATATGACAAGAAAAAAAAAAAAATCAACTCATGTATAATTAATTTATATTTTTATTATTGTCAAATTAATATGCTTAATTTCTATTTTTTATGATGGTTAGGATGGATGGAGCAATTTTATAAAAAATTGGAATCATTTAATATTTTCATATATTTAGTATATTATTGATTATATTTCAATATATTCAATTATTTTTTGTTCAAATAAAATTATAGGAATTGCTAAAGCCACACCTTTATATTATTAAAGCTACACCTTGATATTGTTAAAGCCACACTTCTATAATGTTAATGACACATCCTAAAAGGTATTGTGGTTGTTTTCATTGTAATTTCTTTTGGAATCACACTTCATAATTCCTTTCAAGATACTTTGGAGAAGGTCAATTAGTATATTGACTCTCATTTGGATGGAAGAAGCATTAGAAGTGACGATTTAATATGTAGGCACAAGTAGAGAGTAACAAAAGAGGATAAGATTAAACATGAGTAAAAAGCAACAAGAGAAAGATAGGATAAACACAAGTAAAGAGAGGCATGAGAAGAAAACAACAAGGAAGATTATTTAGAGAGTGAGAGTTGAGTAAGAGTATATCTACATGGACTGTGGCTTTAATAATATGAAGGTGTCACTTTAGAAACTCTCTAAAATTATATATATATATATATATATATACACTATTAATTTTTTTAAAATATATATATTATTTTAATAAAAAATAATTTATTTTGATATCAAAAATAAAATATTATATAATTAATTATATTATTTATTATATATTATTAAATTATAAATATATAATATAATATAATAATAAATTATATAATATAGTAATAAATTACATTATAAAGTTTAATATTATGCACTTAATTTAATGACATATAAATATAAAAATGATCTTTTTATCATGATGAATAAATAAATAAGAATTAATTTAATCATAATTTAAAATTATAATTATATTATTATTATTCACATTTTATCCATCTAGTGCATAGAAATGATTAAAATCCATATAAAAGAAAATCTCCACCTTTGAAACAAAACCTAAAAAGACCATAGCTCATGTGCATTCTCTACGTGGCTCCTTTTGTTAGATATGGACTAACTTCTACCAACCACGTATATATGCCATGCACATACAACTCATTAAGCATACTTTCTTGGTGTCAATCACTCGGCTTGACGCTGATCCAAAAAACCCAAGCCACAAAATACTAACTAGGCTTCACAACATTGTGTACTAAAGCCCTTATACTATCAACACACCATTTCAATAAGGATCAATTGTACAATTGTTGTTTGTAAAGGAATTGAATCTTTTTAATGAATATTCGATATTATATATATCAAAAGCTATAACTTATCTAATTCTTAATTTAGACACCAAAAGCGTCATTCTTTTGGCTTTTTGCACCTTTTGTTAGAAACAAATAATATCCATTCTACTTTTATGTTTTCATCTTATTTTCATAACATGGTATTAGAGCTGGATGAATATTAGTTTGGATAAACAATGCTATAGATAAACATCAGTTTGAATGAATAGTGCCATAGATAAATTTCAATTTGGATGAAATTGGATATTTTCTGTAGATGTTTTTTTTTTTTTTTTTTTTTTTTTTTGATGATTTTTTTACTAGAGCTCTATTGCTACTAGATTATTGATGAAGTCAAGGAGCTATTGGAGCTACTAGAATTGGAATTTAAACTATATTGATGCTAGTTTTTACTTAATTAAATTCCATTTGTTGGTGGTGGTAAAGATGAGTCTTTTTGCTCCAATATAGCTTAGTACTTTTACTTTCTAAATATTGCATTTTGTAGATTATTTATTAACTATTTCTTTATTGTTATTTTTTGCTATTGCATTAATTGTATTTGACAATTGTATCCTCAATAGATCATTATATTGATTAATTAAATGAAAAAAACTATGACATATGGATATTTGTTATGAAACAATTCATGCATATTTACAAGTTCTATATGCATGTAGATGGGACATTAAAATGTTCCATGAATTTTAATAAAAAAACTAAAATAAAAATCTAGCAAAAGAGAAGTACCAACATTGATTGCACTCAATATTAAATCTTTTCAATTAAATCATATATGCAAATGTAATACTACACAGAAAATGTAGGACATATTAGTTAAGATCCATAAGCCCTTAGGATTTATTATTGAAATATTTTTAATAAAAAAATTATATAATCTTTGATATGTGGATAGAAAATCTATAGAGATTTCTCTTAGAGAGATTTTTTATTTTAGGAATTAATATATTGAAGTCAATGGAAATGGAAAAACAAAGCATGATATTTCTTATACTTATTGCATTACTAAAATCTTAGAATTCACTTATTCAATCAATTACATTGTGAAAAATAGAAGAGATCACAAAAAATTTAGTGCAATCTATTCTCTTTGAAGAAAAGATGCAAAAGAAGGAAAAGACTATTTTTCTATTTTTTGTTTTAGTAGTGCATATAAGAAAAAAATAAGTCTTAAAGAAGCACCATCCACAACAAAAAAAAAGCCTAAGATTGATAAGTCTAAAAGTACTTGTAGGGCTTGTAGACAAAAAAGGCATTAGCAAGGTAATGCAAAATGTCCTAAAATAAATAACAATGGTATAGTAAATATTGGAATTATTGTTTTTTTTTTAGCTCAAGAGACATCATTTAATTCAAAAAAAATAATTATATATTTTTTTCAATTATAATATTATGTATGCATTAATAAGGCAATAAATATACATATTTGAAGAGATAGAAGTAAATTTCTCAATTTTGATGAAAATATAACTATTCAACTTCAAGGCTATGATGGTGGCATTAGCAAATCACAAGACTTAGGTGAGATGCATCTTACAATTATAGACCCTAAAAAAAAATGCATTCTTGTGGTTGTGAAGGATGTCCATTGGATTTATGGAGCATGTAATATTTTGTTATCAGTTGCAACTTTATGCAATAAAGCAAATATATGAACTTTTTCAATTTCTACTTAGCTCCTATCTCCCCATGAATACGAGTAGCTACATAAGCTACCCAATTG